GCTAACGACCTGCACTGGGATGCATTTCAATCAATTGAAATGCATTTGAATCATGAACAGACACAGCATATTGATTTAGTTTTCCCGTCTGCTCACTCACCTTCTCTCTCTTAGGGGCGATCGCATCAAGCTCATCAATAAAGATGATGGCAGGAGCATTCTTCTCTGCTTCCTCGAAGGCCTTCCTCAGGTTACTCTCGCTCTCTCCTGCCAGCTTACTCATGATCTCAGGACCTAAAATGGAACCCAAATACTTCAGTCAGGGTTCATACACTTTTTCACCAATGATTCTCCATGACCTTTACCTCATTTTCTATGACCAAAACATTACTCTTTCTCAGCGGTACCACTGAAAATGGTTTATTTGAACATGGAACAGGAAAATAAGGTCTGCATATGAAACATGTTGTGCCTATCTAAAACAAATCAAATAGTAGGCTTACTAGCTTCTACACGCTAAAGCAACTAAAATCTCTCACCAGCAAAACACCTCGACAGTTAAATGCCATTTTACATTTCATTACTATACGATACAGTATTTATTAGATGGATAAAATATAAATTATTTGATGCAACTTTAGTTAAATTTCCATGACTTTTCCAAAACTTTGGGAAAAATATTGTTTTCCATAACTTTTCCAGGGCCTGGAATTAGCATTTTGAATTTCCATGACTTTTCCAGGTTTTTAAATGACCGTAAGAGACCTGTCTCATAGATACTGCGAGTTTGTTACTTCTCGTTTAACCTGGTTGTGTTGTCCTTTCATCTTTCCCACTAATAGAGGGGATTTCTTCCAAGATATGTTTTAACTAAGAACCCTAACCCCCTAACCACTTTAAAATCTAGTATGCCGCAACATGACATACAACTGCATCTTAAATGGCTCACATTAAAATGTATTACTTTATTTTATTGCTGCTCATTAGACAACATCATTAGTCCGAGGGGGGGGACAGCACAGGAAAAGGAAACGTGGCTTCTGGAAACATGCCGATGCTGGCTGATTTTTTAGATGAAAGCCAGGTCTTGACATTTGCACAGAAGCCTTTGTGGGAAATGAGTTCACTAGCATTTATATTTACGCAACAGGTTTTATTGTTTCTTACCCATGAGACCACTCTGCCGTTGAAACATGGCAACTTGGCACTGTCATCGGAAATCTCTTCCTTCACCACCCTGAAAAACAAAAGAGACACACAGTTAGCATCAGGTTTGAATTGTTCTACCTAACATTAGGTATACGTTGTCTCGATGGCACAGCGTGGAATGAGATCTGAACACAACACCGAGGCTTCAGTCGAGTCGTAAAGAAAATGTGGAACTGCTGGAGAATTAAAAAGTGATTTATGATATGACATGGCTGAACTAAATCAAATTCTTGGCTTATTTCAGAAATACGACTAGGATGTGTTATGACAAGCTGTCCTTGTTCGCTTGCCGTACTGTTTTACATGCGTTCCAGATGTTTTATGGATCACCTAACAAAACTGACACTAATTGAGTAATACTTTGGCGTATATCATATCAACACCTGCAAGGTTTTTACTCACCAGGAATCAATGTTAAAGTGATTTTCTTAAAAAGGAGGGTTGTCAAGTTAAACTTATTTTACACTGATGCCCTGATCAGGTTTTCTTTAGCCCCAATCCTAAAATATTGAGTATCTGCTCATTTGTTGTCCAAAACAACACTTGTTTTTATTGAAATGTTAATCAAATATGTATACTGGGGGGTGGCATATCAATTGAAATATTGAATTGAACAATTTAATGATAAAATAAAAATATTCATGACATTTGACTGAAAAGTCATGAAATTCTATTTAGCCGTAAAGAAGAACAGCTCATGATTGGACTACAACTGTCTAATATTGGCGATTCACCCAGTCTTTTTCCTATCACAGCAGAGCTAACAGTTAGCCTCTAGCTAAAAGACAACACGTAGCTTATTGGTAGCCTGAAGCTGCACTTTTTAAAAAGACACCATGGTCACTGCCATGGTCAAAGATGCCGGGGAAACAAGTAACAACTGTACTTTAAAATCCTCTTGCGTCTACCAGCTACAAGCCACTCTTTCAGATCCAATTTGCATCATACGAATAAAATCTACTTGTAATGAAAGAACAATTATATCACTGGGATTATACTCTGCTAATCGTATTACCGAAACACCAGTTAAGCCCTGAAGCGTTGAATTAGCACAGCAGATATCAAAGAAAAGAACAAACAATCCTAATTAGCTTCCTCCGGCTGGTGACAGACTCCATTGGAATTCATTCAACGAGCTAAATCACACACTTACTGCTATTGTGGCTCGCTGACAAAATTACAGTCAGCAAATTAAATGCATGCAAATCCAATACACGTAACAACACAAAGCAAAGCTCCTCAAAGGCACATCCGCCGGGCTCCTCTGTAGTATTCCTGCATGTTCGTCAGAAAGACAAACATCAGGCCTAAGCTGTGTAATTCCCCCCCAGCAGCCTGTACTATGTTATTAGAGTAGATTACACGGACAGGGGCTGGGCTGAGTGTTACAGAGAGGACACTTGACTGCTTCAACTCCTTCAAAAGTTATTTTTCCAGCTTCCTATGCCGGCCTCTCATGTGTGCGAGACTTGGTCAGGCTCCACTGGGCTTTCGTAAGCAGCTGTTGAGAGCTGGTTTTGTGGGCGAGTGTTAACATACACCCGAGTTGTTGTGGGGAACAGCTACAGGACCACGTGGCTTTTGAATGCCGTGCGTGTGGCTTCTGAGCGTTAGCTAAACTCATTTTTTGCCAGCCGTTTAATTGCCCTCCTAACACTGCGGGAAACTGCGGATGAACAGATGCTGCATTCTTCTCCCGAGAGTGTAATTGTCTTCTTTCCTCGGCCGTCCAAACAAACAACCGACCGCAGTCGAGAGTCATTTCACACACACTCTAAAATGCATCGCCTATATGTACAAACAACGCCGAAATATGCTAAGTAGGGCTGCACGATGTGGAGGAAATAAGTAAGAGCGATTATGTTGTCATTTGAAGAAGTCACTTTGAGCTCTGGTAACTGGAAATGAACTATTCTCACGATGTGTTGACCAAATACATAATCAGGGAATACAATTGATAGAATAATTTAGGAGAAATATAAATAAAGTGGCAGTGTACGCTGACTGATATTTGTTTACCATGTCATTCATCTCAGTATCATTGAACGATTAGCACGATGTGATGTTTTCAGGAGGATCTGTACCAAACAATATTGGTTTTTCATTGGTTCTGAGTCTGTAGGATCCTATTGGTAGGTGTGGATATCTCTACAGCTCCATAAAACGTTGTTCAAACCTTTAAGCAGCGTTTCCGCCAGGGGGGCGAGGGCGTCCAAAAATATTAATAATTCGAGAGAAGATCGAGAGTTTTTATCACTTGAAATGACGAAAAGGAAACCGGACATCCCTCTGTTGGAGGGGCAAAGGAGTCTGGTGGGATTCTTTTCGGAGTATTGAAGATTGTTTCCCCGACATCGAAGGTGCCTGCTACAGGACAACACGGAACGTACACGATGAGCGGGGGGGGTTTTAGTGGAGCACGCGCGTGAGCTGCGAGCGCCGGAGCCTCGCAGCGGCAAAACTGAGGCTCCGTGGTAAACTGTGGTAACATGAAGAGCCGTTTGGGAGCCAAAACAGCCGGCGCTGTAAGAGAGAAAATTCAA